AATCAATCAATCAGTGAATCAATCAATGAATCAATCAACCAATGAATCAATCAACCAATGAATCAATCAACCAATGAATCAATCAACCAATGAATCAATCAATCAATCAGTGAATCATGAATCAATCAACCAATGAATCAATCAATCAATCAGTGAATCAATCAATGAATCAATGAAACAGTGAATCAATCAATCATTCAATCAATCATTCAACCARTTCATTAAATTAGTCATTCAGTAAATTGATCAATTAATTAACCATGAAATTCAACAATGAAATCAATCAGTTTATCAATCCAAAAATCAATAAATCACTCCCTATCAGTTACTCGATCGATCAATTAATCACAATTAACAATGTATCAAATCAGTCAATCAACAATTAATAAATAAAAATAATAAATCACAAAAATATTTACCATTCTTTTTGGTATAAGTACAAGCAAATGTAGTGCATTGCACAGTGTCTGGTGGTGCTTCCCCCCCTGACGATGGGTAACTCACTGATCTGGACACCCGCGAATGACCTTGACCATCATTTTGATCATTACCATTGGACGTCTCAGTAATTTTATTGGAATACGACTTGGATCTCACTGGGGGAGGGGGTCGGGTAGGTTTTATCTTCTTTTTTTCCACTTTTTGGATGCCTGAATCATTGATGTCAATGCCTACTGATGCGTCCATGTTTAAGGTGAATGTCAGGGGGGTACCAGGTGTTATGGGTGCRCTTGGGGTAAGGGGSGTTGATGGTGTYGGTTGTGGTGTCTGGGATACATGGACACTGTTTTCTGAAAGAACTGAAGAGAAAATAAAATACATTGTTATTAGCACTAATTTATTAGTATTTGGGTTATGGAATTTTGAAGTTATGGACGGACAGACAGATGGATGCTTGCATGGGTACCTACTTATGGAGACATTGACATTCTTTCGCACCTGCATTGTGGGGCAATAAAATTTATAGCAACATTTTATAGTCTCCCTAAATTTTCTAATTGCAAATTGCATATTACATGATAAATGGCTGATTTGAACGATAGGATGGGATGGATGGAAGCATAAATGAAAATATCAAATGGAGATACATACCAGTCATTTCTTGAGCCGACAGAACAGTTATGAGTATCTTTTGTACAACATCAACTAAAGCTAGAGATGGGCCACTACATATAGACACTCTGTTCAAGATAAAAAAATCACAGTTAAAGAATTGTACAATGTAATTGCTTACATTGCCATACAATTATCTAGACTGATTCCATAAGTCAGTACCAGTTCCCTCTCTGTCAATATACCAACTGAAAAATAGAGGAGCGAATAATGTATTTCTCTTGTAACGGTTACGAACGTAGTGAGTGTGAGTGGAGAGAGAAATAATCTCCTTAGCGACGGAGGACTGGACACTAGTGCACGTGCTTGTATGCTAATTAGGATGTTGTTTATAAGGTCAAGTTGAAATTAATTCAATCATTGTGGTCTAAGTTCCTTTTGCTTAGTTTTCATAGGAGTGTGTGAGTTCTGTGTGATGGTATTCGTAATTTTAGGCTGTGTTTTTTGGAATAAAATGTTATGGGCTTAGACCGCTCACCGCATACCTTGTGTCTGTTTTATGAACTATGGGACGTAGGAGTACAAGGAACTACGACTTATGGAATCAGTCTATATACAACTACCATGAAAGTGAAACGGTATGGAAGGCTTTGTAAAGATAGAGAGAGTTGTGGAGAGAATTGCAATTTGCATATTTGCCCCTAGGACGAAGCTGAACATTTGACGTCACAGCAATGAGGCTACATGTTATTAATCTGACAAAAATGCTTACATTCCAAGTTGAGAGCTTTGTGAAATGCTACTGATAGGCCATCCTTCTTGACTACCAGCTAAAACACACAACAGATCTGGCTGAAAACCTGGATGTCTTTTGAAAGTGCCTGTTTTTCCAGTAACTATTGGTAATGGTACTGGTTCAGGCAGGCAGTCAGCACTTGAGGTAGAACTTCTTGAGCTTCTATCACCGGGCTGCATGAATGCACTATCTTGTTCACTTGAAGGAGGTGAGTTGTTGAGGTGAAAAGGCTCAATGGACTGATGAATATCTATTTGCTGTTGATTCAATGATAAAAAATGATAAATAATTGTGAATAAATGACAATGAATGGATAAACAAATGAAGGAATGAAGAAATAAATGGATGGAGAGATTGAAAAATGAAAAAATGAATGGATAAACAGATGGACTAATGGTTAGATGAATAAATAAATCATGGATGAACTGATAAACAAAATTGATAGAAGGGTGACTGAACAAATGAATAAAATAATGAACAAATGGATAAATGAATGAACAAGGACCATCCCCCTCCCCCATAACAAAGATGTTCTCCCCTCCACCATAGCATAGACTATACCCCCATAACAAAGACCATCCCCCTCCCCCATAGCAAAGACTATGTCCCCCCCATAGCAAAGACTATCTCCCCTCCCCCATAGCAAAGACTATCCCCCTTATAGCAAAGACCATCCCCCATCCCCATAGCAAAGACTATCCCCTCCCCTCTAGCAAAGACTATCCCTCTCCCCCATAGCAAAGGCTATTTGACCATACTAATTTCTAAACAGTTCCTATTAACTTTAGTGCTAATACTTGTCAATAGAACAACTCTGGCTCACTTACCACTAGCTCCACAGCCTGTTCTGTCAAGCTGAACTGATAYAACAAGACATATGATGATCCTGCAACCAGGAGAATCCGGCTATGTACACAGAAATTGAGCATTTGAACAGAGTACATTTCAGAGTCGTCATCCTGTGATAACCGATGGTTACTACTACCCTCGGAGCTTTCTGAGGTGCTGGCTTTTGGTTCTGTRTTGTCACTACTTTCTTCTGATGACTTGGACTTTTCACGTTCAAAGTGTTTGGAGGTTGACATCTTGTATAACATGAACAAAGCAGCTGGGAATAGAATGAGAATTCAAATTACTTAGGATTTTACAATTATTATAATCGAAATAAAAATAGAAAATGGGAATTTGAGAATAAGAATAAGGGTACAGTCGAATCATGAAAGGAAAATATGAGACGAAGAAAATAGATTAAGGGAAAAGAGAAATAGATGAGATGAACTAGAAAAGGAGATTTGTGAGGTCAAAGAAGAGAACATAAGGGAAGACAAAGATAGATGAGAAAAGATTTCATGTTCAAAAGGATCACACTAGCTGTACCTGACGATGCATCCCAGAATTTCACCGTCCCATCAGAATGACTGAAAAGTCAATACCCAAGTGATCATTCAGTTACAATTACCTCAGTTTCAAAAACAGCATAATAACATTGAATCAATACTTTTCATACATTTGATTAATTATTTATTACATCTATTAAAGGGACATGGTCCACCAGCATGCAATGCGGTCATGTTTTAGATTTTTCATATATGGAAAATGAGGTGACTTCGAATATCCATTCACAATCCATTTTAATCCATCGGTCGAATCTTACAGTATCTCCACTGATGCAGCCATGGYGGACCGTGAAGTGTGGCAACGTGTTGTTGAGTGCGCCCCGGCCCTTAGGGTCGCCAGATGATAAAGAGTAATAAAGAGTAAGTTTTTGCATATTATCGTGTATTTTTTATTTTCAAACATGAACTAAAGCTCGAAATGGATGCTGGCGGACCATGTCCCTTCAATAAATTATACATTTATTGACAAGTCACAGTCAAAGAATTTAAACTAATCAAAGCCTACATACCCTGTTATGACAAGTTCTGACGGTGGCCCACCTGGCTGCTCACCACTGACGCCACCCATTATTGGCCAAGCCTAAAATTGAACCCAGAATCAAGATTGATAACTGCAATGTTTTCACTAAACATCACAACAGACATCTTGGAGGGTAGTCAAAGAATGATCCAATCAATCAGTAAGTTGATCAATGGATCAATCAATGAATCAATTAATGGGTCAATCAATCAATCAATCAATCAAAGTTCATTAATCAGTTAGTCAATCAGTCAATCAACAATTAAATTAAACAATGAAATATTCAATTGGTTAATCAATCATTTAATCAATCAATCAATCAATCAATCAATATCTTGGAGTAACTTCAACGAGGGATTTCTCATTTAGTATCTATTGTTCACTCAACATGGCCAAAATGGTTGAAAATGATCAATATCACCCAAAATGATGGACCATATCTGTACCTGTCTACTAGCCTCCCTTGATAAGTGTCTTTTTCTTGGTTTGTTGCCGACATGTCCAATATCAGCAATACAATCAGGTGGACAATCAGAGAAGTACTGGGTACAAGTTACATGAGATTCATGAACATCAAAGGCATATGGTACATCAAAACTGAGGGGCCTAAACAGAAGGGTGAAAAAAGGACATTTGGTGAAAACTGACATCAAAGGCATATGGAACATCAAAACTGAGGGGCCTAAACAGAAGGGTGAAAAAAGGACATTTGGTGAAAACTGACATCAAAGGCATATGGAACATCAAAACTGAGGGGCCTAAACAGAAGGGTGAAAAAAGGACATTTGGTGAAAACTGACATCAAAGGCATATGGAACATCAWAACTKARGGRYCTARMYASAAARTTGAATAAAGGACATTATTGAATATGGTCATTAAAGGCACAAGGGACTTCAGAACTGAGGAGTCTAAGCAGAGAGAAGAATAACGGACATTTTATTGTAAATAACAGTGAAATTCAATCATTAGAATGGCTTACTTTGAAGATGAAGTAAGCAAGTCATATATCAATAAATGTAATGGTGTTACAGCTATCACAACCTTAGCATCTTGTGCATCTAAAACAAAACAACAAACAA